GACCTTGCAGTTAGCAATTCAGTGCTACATGACAGCACCCAAGGGCTCCTACATTTCTAACTAGGTTTGTGCAAACTCAAGAATAAACTCAAAACTAAACTCACTGCTCTGGAGTTGATTCCTATTCATAGTACCCTGTAATTCAAGGTAGAACTGTCCCTGTGGGTTTCTGACACTTTAACTTTTTAGGCAGTACAAAACCTCGTCTTTCTCCTGAGGAGGGGCTGGTGGTTTTGAACTGCTGAGCAGCTTACTACATAACTGATATCTACCTTGAAGTAAAGGAGCACTGGTGGTGCAGCGGTTAAAGCACTCTGCCACTAACGTAAAGTCAGGGTTTGAACCGAGCTCTCCTGAGAGACAAAGATGTGGAAATGTCCTTCTTTCAATAGTGGAACTCCTATAGGTCTGCCATACTCTGTCCGTGTGATCATCTCGAGTTGGAGATGACTGGATGGAAGTGGATTTTTGACCTTGACGTACAAAGGTAAATCAAATAGTATTGCTACAAAACCATTGAATTCTTCACTAATTAAAAATATCACAAGGTGAAGCTACTATTTCTGAACGTATCCTCCATTTAGGTCTGTCTATTTTTTTTTTTGTAGTTTCTATCTCTCTAACCCTTCCCCCGAAGAATCCTGCAATATTCAATTTACACCATATAAAAATTCATAGTTTTGGTATCCTTGAAGGTGCTACTTTTCAATGTTCTTAGAGTTTGAGGAGCATGAAGGGGTGTGAACAGGGCAATAGAGTGGAGTATGGTCTCCCAAGGACATTCCCCTAAGACAATCTTTGCCGCCTTCCTAGAAGGAGCAGGTGCATTGTCATGATGGAAAGAAAATTCCTGGACATAACTTGCCTGGCCTTTTTCTCACCAATATGTCTTCTTAGTGTCTTAAAACCTTCTCCCAAATAAGCCTTCACTTTTTTCCTGTGTCTTTCAAGAAAAATCTATCAGAAGTCTCTTGTTGGCATCCCCAAAACTAGTTGCCACATGAGTCTGAGCTGAGGAGAACTATGCAGCAGATCCTCTTGAAAGCCACTGTCTGATGGAATCCTGATCTTTGGATTGCACTACTGGTAAATCCAAGGCTCACTTTCAGTTGCAATTCATTCCATTCCATTGTCTTCATTAGTTTCGACAAGTTGCACAAGACCTCCTTAAAGTGTTGAAAAGCAAGGATGTTATTTTGAGGACTAAGGTATGCCTGACTCAAGCCATGGTATTTTGAATCAACTCATATGCATGTGAAAGTTGGACATTAAATAAGGAAGAACTAGGAAGAATAAATGCATTTGAATTATGTCCTAGGAATGAGTATTGAAAGTATCATGGACTGTCAAATGAATGAACAAATCTATCTTGGAAGAAGTGCAGCCAGAATGTCCCTTGGAGGCAAGTCTGGTGAGAGTTCATCTCGCAAACATGGGGCATGTTTATCAGGAGAGACTGGACCCTGGGCAATGAAGCATGCTGGGCAAATTAGAAGGCCCTCACCAAGACGTGCTGACATCACTGGGTCTCAACGTGAGACCAATCGTGAAGATGGCCAGGGCTGGGTAGTAGTTCACTCTGTTGTACACCGGGCCACTCTGAGTAGGAGTAGATCTTATGGCACTAACAACAATGGCTTCCATTTGTTTAAAACCTCAATGGAGTAAAACACTTTGGGGGCTAGCCAGTCTTCACTAAATACTGAAAACCTGCTGAAGTCAAGAGGTTCACCTATCATTGAAGATGCCAAACCATGTCCGATCCCACTTCAGCCGCATCAGCAGTAATTCTACGAGGCTCTCTACTACCATAACAAGTGGAGTCTCCCACAGAAACCCACAGGAGCAGTTAGTTATACCTTGTCCTATATGATTTCTGGGATGCAGAACAGCAGTGAGTTTGGTGTGGTTTTGGTTCTTCCACCAGTTTCTGGACTTCAGTCACAGTTTTCATCATCATCTACTTTTGTATTTCAGAGAGAAAAAAAATCAAGCTCACTACCATGGATTTGATTCTGATTTATAGCGACTCTATAGGACAGGGTAGTAACCCTGTAGGGTTTGCAAGGCCGTAAATCTTAACTGGAACAGAAAGTCTCATAGTTCCTTAGTGGAGCACTTGATGGGGTTGGCTGCTGACCTTGCAGTTAGCAGCCCAACGTGTAACCCACTCTGCTATTTCAGAGAAAGTCCACTCGGATACCGTAATGAATGCATGAAGATCAACAAAAGGTTACTTCATGCTTCTACCTTGTAAGCGAAGTCGTCTTCATAACGTTGCAAGGAAGAATCACTTAAAGACCACTGTACCAGGGGTGAAGAGCCGTGTTCTCATAACCGCTCGGCTATTAGTTGTGTGGTTTTAGGAAAGTTGCTTTCTGGGCCTTAGTTTGATTATCTGTGAAATGTAAAGTGTGATGTCCCACTCTGTTCTATGAATTTTTGCTTCTAAACATTTAATGGATAAGAATTTCAATGGTAGTGAAGATAGCACAGGAGCTCTGGTGGTGTGGTGGATTAGGGGTTGGGCTGCTAACCACAAGATAGGCAGTTTGAAACCATCATCTGCTCTGAGGGGAAGGATGAGGCTTTCTACTCCCATAAAAAGGTATAGTCTCAGAAACCCATGGGGCATTTCTTCTCTGTTCTGCAGGGTTGCCCTAAGTCAAGATCAACTCGATGGCAGTGAGAGCATACTTTTCTAGAAATAAATAAATCACCGTGAAAATATATAGGAGCCAGTTGTTTCATAAATCTTTTTTTAGTAGTTACATCTTTTACTATAGTGAACCTAGAAAAATAAACCCAAACTAAACAGAAAAACAAATGAAAGATGCACATTTTGAGATTGTAAATTCTCCTGATAAACTTTCTGTTAGTCACTTAAAAGAAAAGATCCTGTATAATCCATGCAACTTGCTAAAGAAACATATTGTAAATGTGCATGCCCAGAAGTCTAAGTTGTTATTGGCTCTTATTGAGTCCGTTTAACTCATAGCCACCCTATGTACAACATAACACCCGCACAATGGTTTTGATTGAGTCAATGTGTCTATCTGTCCGGTCCTCTTTTCTGATGACCCGCTATTTTCTAAGAATTATGTCCTTCTGCAGGGATGGGTCTCTCCTGAAAACATGTCCAAAGTATCGGAGAGAAAGTCTCCCTACTTCACTTCGAAGGGGCGTTTTGGCTGTACTTCTTCCAAGACTTTTCTGTTTGTTCTGGCAGTCTATGGGACTTTCAATATTCTTTGCCAACACCATCATTCACATGTATCAATTTTTCTGTGGTCTTTCTTATTCATTGTCCAACTTTCATATGCATATGAGGCAACTGAAAATACCATGGCTTGGGTCAGGTACACCTTAGTTTAGGTCACCAAAGCTTAAAGTACCGAAACCAACAGAGTCAGAGAAATTCGAATAGAACCCTAGCTTTCTTCTTTAATCACTTCTGTGTGGAGGGACTGTGGCGCCATCTTCCAAGTAGGGCCTGCAGAATTCACTGCTGTTGAGTCCTTTCAGACCCAAAGAATTTGAATGCATAAGTATGATCAAGCTATTTCCATATTTATGTAAAAAGAGCTTGTCACTTATTCTAGTGCCCCCAATTATTGTTCTATAGACACGCACCTTAGACATATTTTGTCCTCAGACTTGACTTCAAAGACAAAGACAATGCCAAATGTTTCTTTTCCTAAGGCCAGAAATCTTCTGTGTTACGTTGTTGACCTTTTGCTTTGTAAGCCCCCATCGGGAATCTTTTGTAACACAATACAGAGGACAAGTCCCTGTGTTGCTGTTTACACAATGAGGTATGCCTAACTGGAAGAGAAATATCACATACACTCATGAATGACTATCTCATTTCCTGACAACATAGAAGATCATTGATAAACCCAGGGCGTCCTTGGCACTCATATTATTATTAAATAAACAGTTCCACGAGGGACCTTTTGAAAAGATTAAAGAAAAAAGGGAAAACGAAGAAAGCAGAATCCAGTCCGGAGTGGAGAGATGTAGGTCTGCGGCTGAGCCAGAGGATCTTCTTTGAATAGAGAGGGATTTGCCTGGGGGGGTTTCCTGTCCAGCCCTTAATTGCCAGGGTCTTTGTAGCTGGCAAGCGGATGCTGGGCTCCCCATTGGGCAGTTTCCCAGTAAGGGACTGGGGATTCCTACACATTCTCCCTCCTTCGCATCTCCATCTGCGAGTCCCTTCAGGTTGGCAGGAGCCCGGAACCTGACACTTCCCGCAGATGGGACAGGCAGGCTCTGTAACCCAGTGCACACGCAATCACCAAGTTCTCTGGTGATTTTAGAGTTTCGCGTGCTCTCAACAACAGACCGCCCTCCGTTGCACTGGTGCTGGCCGACCCCCGAGGAGTCTGGGGCCACCTTTCCCTTAACCCAGAACTGGCTGCAGTGGGGGCGGGGAAGCGGGCTGGGGCGGAGGTAGGAGGGTAGTGGTGTTTGAGCGCACAGTCGCTGAATGGGGTGCGCCGCTGTCCCCAAGCCGATTGGTACTTCTTGTCAGGAAGAAACCGGCGAGGTGGGAGTGCCTGGGGAGGGCGGCAGGCGGTCCCTACCGCAGGCACGCGGGGCTGCCTTTCCGCCCCTCCGCTGGCTTTCCAAGCCTGGGCTCTTAAGAGTGGCTGAAGCTCGAGGGCGCTTTTGGAGCCGGTGAATGAACCCTCCTCCTCTTCCTCCTCCTCTTCGCTGAGTCTCCTCCTCAGCGCTGACGGTACAGTGATATAATGTTGATGGGTGTCACAACCCGCATTTGAACTTGCAGGCGAGCCATCCTGAGCCTTTCCGGGGAAGCACTCCGGGCAGGCGGGCGCAACCGCCACGAACCTGAAGTGCGGGGGACAGGCGTTGGGACCGCGATCTGCAGCCAGCCCCGCATCCTCCCGCATCTTCCAGCGCCGTCCTGCAAGCTCCGCACCCCGCCCGGGGCCGCCGCACTGCCTCGGTGACCGCCGCGACCACGCCGAGCCTATTCGCGCAGCCTTGCGGCCACCCCAAACCCCCACCAACTCTGCACTAAGCCGTCTTTCAAGGTAATCACGCTTCTTTTGTTTCCGTTTAAAGGTTAAAGAAAACACACAAAAAACTTATTGGGGGTGGGGGTACCTAAAAACAAAAAACGCGAGCTTAGTCAAAAGTTCATTGCAATTGGTAGAAAGCAACAAGAACTTGCTGTAAGGCTCAGTTAGGCAAATGTGTGCACTTAAAATTGCAGGTAACTTGAAAAGGACCTTTTGGGGAGCCCACTGGTGCTGAAAAAGATCCAGACAAAAGGAGCCCGCAGTAGGGGGGTGGTGGAAGGACTCACGGAATTGGGGGAGGGGAGGTGCACAGGAAACCTAGAAAAGTCCTGGAGCTGGTGGGCAGGAAGGGACACCAGGTACCTTGAGTTGGGGTGTGTGTGTGCGTGTGGTGCTGTTGACTTGATGGCGGCTGAAGTCTGAATGGGGGCTGCCCAGACTTGCATGCGTGCAAGACTTCGAGGCCGCTCTGTGCAGGCCACCTGGCTTTCCGGTCCCTGGTGTGTGGTCAGCGCTCCCGGGCAGCCCCTGACAGTGTGAGCGGGCGTCCCAGCAGCCGCTACCTGCGCAGACAGGCCCTCCCCGGCCGCTCGCCGTCCGTCGGGAGCAGGTCTGGCGCGGGAAGGGCTAGCTCCCGGGCCGGGTCTGTCACTGCTCACGCCCAGCGCCCTGGTTTCTTTTGTCCCGCGCGTGGTGAGCAGGCGGCCCACGCGCAGAGTTGGGCACGGGGACTGGGTGGTTGGAGCGCCGCGGACGTCTGGGAGGCGCCGAGGCGGGAAAAGCTTGCCCTGCAGCGGTTGGGATGGGCAAGCATTTTTTGTCACCCGGTAAAGCGCTGCGACACGCTTCCCAAAGAGCGAAGTAGCGCCTGTAGGGCGCTCTGGAAACAAAGGTGGCGGAACTCGAGTCTGCAGGGTCCCCGAGACCAGCTCTTTATTCCAGTCCGCCCAAGTCCCCCGTTTCCGTCCCCCTCCCCGGCCCCTCCCCGCCAGTTGAGCAACTTTGCTGGCGGGTCGCGCGGCCTCCAGGAGCGTGTGCGGGGAGCCCCGGGGGAACCCCGGGGCGAGAGCTGCCCCCCGCCCTGCGGAGGCGAGGGCGCCGCGGGGCCCCATCCCTGTGCTCAGAGCAGGGCGTGCGGGTTGTCCCGCCTCGCTCGCTGTGTCACAGGGCGTGGAGCGGTCAGTGTGTTGGGCAGCCCAGAGCCGGGAGAGAAAAATCATGTCAAAGCCCCAAACGACGTTCTTTGTTTCCGGCTCCAGCTGCTCCCCACCCCTGGCAAGCCCGGCCGGACCCCGGAGAAGTCCGCGCAGCGCCGTTGCGCGCGCGCGCTCGCTCGCCCGCAGGCATCTCGGGTTCTCATCGCTGTCTCTCCGTCTCCGTCTGTCTCACACCGGCACCCCCTCCCCCACGATTGACAAATGAATGGCGGGTGTGAAATCCCTGCCTCTTCTGCCCGCGGAAGCCGGCCGGAGGGAGGCGGCGCGTCGGCGCGGGCCGGCCCGGTCTCGGGCTCGGGGCGCGCCGGCGGAGCAGATGTCTAGGAATACTGGGTGTTGGGGCGGCCGTGGGCGCCCCCTGACGGCGAGGGCCGGGGCAGGCGGGGAAAGCCCGGTTCTCACGGCCTTCAGAGTTAAGGATGAAGGGCTCCAGGGTTTCCCTCCAGAATCTGCGATGTGAAGTCTGGGGTTTTGGAGGACTTGGGGGTGGGGGTGGGGAAAGAGGGGCCTTGTCTCTAGGAAGGGGCCCTAGTGGCGCAGTAGTTGCGACTTGGGCTTTTAGGTGCAAGGCCAGCAGAGAAAGGCAGGGCTTTCAACGCCCGGGAAGTTAGTCCCAGGAACTCGCGAGGGCAAAGGCGACGCTCCGGCCCCACGCGGCGAGAGGTTTGGGTCAGGGCCTTAGGAAGTGCAGAGGCGCCTTCCCCAGGCGGCTGCTCTGTGCTCCGCGGGGTGGGCCAAGGCTGCAGCCGGA